TATATATATTATTTAATGTCTGATTCTGTATAGTTTCCTGCTAAACATCTTTATATTACAGAACACTCTATATGAATTTATTTTGGAAGCTATAGCCAGCCGTGGAGATAGTAGAGGAAAAAGTCTCATCACAGATTACACTGTTTTAAGGAAGGTAATCTGATTTTTTTTTTAATGAATATTATTAAAATAATTTGTTATATTTTTAAGATATGGACACATCCCAAGGTCCTCGAAGATGCGTGGAAAAATGCTAACGCTGTAAGTAATATACCGAAGCTCACAATATCGAATGGAGATTATAATTCGTTTTTAGCAGAAAAATAAAAAAGATAACAAAAAGCATGGATGTCCGCATTCTGACGACGATCAGCCAGATGATATTTATGATAGTCAAACTGGTGTGATTTCCGTGACTAATGATTGGTGGCGAAAATATCTTTCAAAAAGGGATCTGGAAACCATTATGCCAAGCAATAAACTTCGAACAATGTTTTCAATTCTTCGTATGTGCGAAGAAAAAGGAGAGAAATGGTACGTTGTTAAATAATAATAAACTAGTAAAAAATAAGTGAGGTTTAGTTATCGATCCATCCATCTGTTTGTCTGTCCTCCCGTATGAATGAACGTGTAACCACCACCGATAGAATAAATATTAGGTTAAGGGGATCTAATATTCTAGCACAATGACTAGAGTTTTGTTGCTTGATGGATTTGGAATGATGCGTTTTAAAAAGAGATTTCAACAATAAGTATAAACTTTGTCAGATTTTGGCTTATTTAAAACTTAAAAACAAAAAAAAACAAGTAAGAAAGCTCTAGTCGAGAGAGCCCGACTACGAGATCCCCTGAACCCTTCGAGCAATAGCTGTTTTAATAATTTTTCGCGTCTTTCTGCTTACACAAGACACACACACGCACACACACACATACACACACACACACACAGAGATACGCACGCACGCATAAACACGCATTGGCTGCAGTGGTGGCTTACTAAAGGAACTTAAYTGTTCAAWAACTTTTCTTGTGGATGTAGTTTCTTCATGAAACTTTCAGATTATGATTATATCATGGATATGTATGTATTTGCCAAAGCACAAGTCTCTAGTATTTGAAATACGCCTTCTACAAATGTGATGGTGAGGGGGTGAATTTTGACAAAAACCGAAATTGTGTAAAATGCATATAAGTATACTCTAGCTTTAAAGATGTAGGAGATAGAAATTTATTACTGGTTTTCGATAATGTTTTTAATCGATAACAAAATAACGGGGCAATTTATTTATTTATTTATATCGAAATTTCAAGTCTCTAGCTCTTATATTTTCTGAAATCCACGCGTTCAAACATACGGACAGACGGACAGGGCTAAATCAACTCAGCTCGTCGCCCTGATCAGGAATATATACACTTTATGGGGTCTGCCACGCCTCCTTCTGCCTGTTACATACATTTAACAAAACCATTATACCCTAATTTCCTATTGAAAATGGGTTCAGGTTTCATCAAGATAGTCCATCCAAGTGTCGATATCATCTCGATTTTGTTTCCAAAAATCGATTACTACTCCCATTTGTTGTTATTGACTAAAATCTTGATCAAAAATTGCTTATAAAATTATAAATCTTATATCTTTAAAGCTAGAGTCTCAAAATTTTAAGTCTAGGTTCACATTAATTTTGTAGAATTTTGATTTTTTGTTTCTTGTGCAATCAGAAAATAAGCGAAGAATTATTTAACTATCTGTTCTTTGATTTATTGTCTTAATCGTCCATTTATATTTTCAGCCTAATTTTCTCGGCGTTTGTTGCAGTACTTAATGTGGTTGAATATTTTTTTAAAAAGATAACGGAATCGGATACTGAAATATTACAACACATTCGTAAGTTTAATAAAAAAAAAATAACTATATATTTATGTAAAAATATATGTAAGTTGAATAAGCGTTAACTATTCTTGCAGACTTTATAGCGGAAAAAGACTTTCTTTGGACCTATTAGCATCAATTATCAACTTTAATTTTGTAAATCATGAGACTTCTCAAATTGTTTATATATATATATTTTTTTTTACAGATATTCCAAGTAGCTATAAAGTTTCAAATACTTGGATTAATGGTCAAGATTATTATAGGCTAGATGGAAAAACGCCGAAAAACATTAGACACGAAATGATAAAACGTTTTAACAGTGAAGCCAACAGACGAGCTCGAGTTTTCCTGATATCTGCCAAAGCAGGAGGCCAGGGAATAAATCTAACTGGTGCAAATAGAGTTATAATATTGGACACTTCATGGAATCCTTCTAATGATCAGCAAAATATTTTTCGCATATTTCGACTGGGCCAGAAAAAAAACTGTTATATATACCGTCTACTAGCAATGGTATGTTGAAGCCATTTTAAAATAAAATTCATGTAAGATAATAATTTTACACAGGGAACGATGGAAGAAAAAGTCTACTCACGATCGGTCACAAAGCAAGCAATGAGCTTTCGAGTTGTTGATGAGCAGCAAATTGATAGACATTACAACATGGCAGAATTGGCTGAACTTTACACGTAAATTATTCTTTTAAAAATTAAGTGTTAATATGAAATATTTAAATTCGTAATCGTTTTCTAATATTAAGGTTAACTGTCCCCAAACAATGTGAAAGGACAATGCCTGTATTACCAAAAGATACCATACTAGCACATCTTTTACGGCAATCGGAGTTGGTTTATAAATATCATGAACACGACAGTCTTTTAGAGAATAAAGTGGAACAAGAACTAAGTGAGCAGGAAAAAGCTGATGCTTGGGATACATATGAAAAAGAATTACAAATGAATTTGGGTATGTGACAAGCAAATTAATGGATCTTTTCTATTGGCCTTAATATAAAACAATTTTTTCCTAATAGCTCAACAGGAAGGATTTAATGCCGATAAGTAAGTACGGTCACACTATTATTATTCACAGATAATATATGTCAAATTATTGTAGGACTCAAAATTCTATTCACCCCGCAAAACTGGCGTCATATTTGGGCTCTGTTCCGAGTCTTGATGTAAGTAATATTCTTCCTTATCAATCTTGACAACGTGGCCTTCTATATAATTTTATATTTGAAAAGAAATTGTATTAGAATTTCAATATAAAAATTATATGCAATCTCTACATTTCATGGAAATATACGAGCCCAATCCACGAATAACAGAATTTTTGTTTTTCAGTGCGCCATGCTCTTATATTGCCAATACTACTAAAGATAACGCAAACCAATTTTTGTTTGTCTTAAAGAGAATTTTATTCTCTTAACGATGATGGCTCCATTGCCAGCAACAACTACATAAGTAATTTATTCAAACAGTAGACTGAAACGATAAGAAAAAATTAACCCCAAGTACGAGCTATCAATTTAAAAATCTGGACTTCACTAAGGAAGTTCTTATATACTTGTTTGATATATTCGAAACCTCTATAAGCTTATTATTCAATTGTCCCAAAAATACCTCGAGCGAATACTAGCTATGAATGTGATTTGCTTGCGCACAATATATAAATAAATAGTTTAATATATTTTTTTATGTCTATTATTGAACGGATACGGAATACAAGTATTATAATCAAAAGTTTTGTCTTTCTTTTCAGATGCAAACTCTATTAAGTTATAGTCTACAATCTGCGTCACTTATGCCACCGTACAGTTATGGATTAAATCAAAACTATATAGATACTTTAAGTTTGTATCAAAAGTATACATCTCTGCGTTACCCGGATATGAACTCATGCATTGAAAATAACTTTGCTCCATCCCCTTTTAATGTGCTTAGTACGCCAGGTCTTAATCGTTTGCCATCAAATCCCTCAATTTTGTCACATATGCAAAATCTTACAAATTCTAAACCACAGGGTAGAGACTCAAATTTATTTGATACACAAAAAGGTCGAAGTAGCTCCATGAATCATTCACAATTTCACCATCCGATCCCTCCAGAAACAACGTCACTGGAGAACTCATCAGTAAATTCCAACTCTAATAATGTTCTTGCAAGTTTAGGTCCTTATAAGCAATTACTTGAAAACCCGCTATCAGGTCTATTAAACTATGTTCCCCAGGGCTACTCTTCATCCCTTCCACCTGAAAACCTACATTCAAATTTAAAGGGTGGTTTTCATAATTTTCCCACTTTGCTTTATCCAGACAAAACTCTAGATGAAGTCGAAAGTATGAGTATAAAAGAAAAAACAACTAAATCAAAGCAACCGGTTGATCATAATATTGTCAGCTCAGTCGATCTTACATCGGCAGCTAGTGTGCCGGTCAGTAGCTCACTCTCAAAGACTTCAGTGAATTCAAAAAAACTGCAAACGCTCGCCACAAGTTCAGTTGATAATACCAAGTCAACGCTTGGCAGTGACTCGATCACAGCCGTTGCAGCGAAAAATACCGCGTCATCTTTGAAAGGCGGTATGAATTTTTCATCAACATATCCCAGTGGCGCTAGTTCATCCATTTCAAAAGATTATTTAAAAAGGAACTCTGAAATGCAGATAATACCAACAACAAGTCCTCCTGGTACAAGTAGTATTACAAAGCAGTTAAATGAAATATCTCCCAGCATATCTCTTACAGCAGTTAACTCATTAACAGAGAAAACGAAATCTCGCCGGCAGACCTTGCAAAAGAGTTCTTCTAACTTAACTGTCGATAATAAGCAAAATACAAATCTTTACAAATCGAAGAATACTTTACATCAGAATATATCACCATTATCAAATGCTTCGTTGTCTGCAGTTAGCGATGCTACCACAGACTACAAAACATTAATCAACAGGAATAGCGCGGAATTAATTTTAAATAATTCCAAGTCGTTGACGACAGTGAATAACAAAATTTTGCCCGAATCATTCTATAAAAGCAAGACCATAAACACAACGCATAATACATTAAACACTAGTTTACCTACAAATTTTGTTAAGCAGGGTGAAGGCTCAAGCGACGGTCGATTTCTCACTAGTGACCTATGTTCAATGGCAACAGATGTACATTCACCAGGGTAAGACTCTTGTTACATATATTATTCAATAATTATCATATTAAAATTTCAGAGAAAAGTCAAGCAGCCCTTCGAGAAAGAGGTCTACTGAAAGTCCAAGAGAAAATCTAAATAGTAAACGGACTAAGCTCTAATATAGTATTTTATATTTTATTATCTATAAAATTAGAATACATATAAATATTGCTTTGTATCAACTAACAATGATTTTGATCAGAACAGATCAACTGTGACTATGTTTATGAGATTATATATTTTAATTGTGAATATATTTTGATTTCCTTGCTCATACAATTTTGAGATTAAATCATTAAGAATACAAAATAAATATATTCAAATAAAAAAAGTAAGAAAGCGAGACTGCTCGACTAGTAGATACCCTGAATCCTCTAAGCTGATATTGCATTCATTCTGCACTTCTTTTATGCACACATGCATACACAGGCACGTATAATCACGCGCTCTGCTGACTGCGCAGTTAGCAGCGACTGCGCTGCAGTGTGGGCAATATTATGAGAATTTATTTGTTGATTAATTTCTTTTGTAGACATACAATTTTAATGAAACATTCCAAAGCACAAGTCTCTAGTACTTGAAACACGTTTTTTACATATTAGGGGAGAAGGGGCGTGGTATCTAAAATCTGTAAATTACAAAATCTTTGTATCCATTAACTTTTTATACAACACAAATTTGAAGTCTACAGGTCTAAAAAAAGCGAAGTCGATTTTTCGATTACTCTCGTTTAAAATGTTATCGGATGAGTTATCGAAAAAATATGATAAACTTGTACTGCCTATGGTATACACGAGTATGCATGCCAAATTTCAGCTCTCTAGCTATTATATCTTGTGAGATTCATTTGCTCATACGGACGGACAGGGCTATATCGACTCAGCTCGTCGTCCTGATCAATAATATATATACTTTATGGGGTCTGCGATGACTCCTTCTGCCCGTTACATACTTTTTCACAAAACCATTATACCCTGATTTCCCATTTTCAGTGGGTTCAAGGTATAAAAACTTAAGTCGGGGTGCCCGATTGGGTTATCATCTGCGAATGCCTTCGAAGCTGCATCACTATTGAATAGCAGGTTTGTTAAAGATAAAAGGGAAAAGCATTCAAAATTGGCAGGACTTAACCCCGCGAAGGTTTTTCAGTTCTATTCTAAGTGCAACATCATCTCTTAGAAATGGCAAATAGACGTACGCATACGACCCAAGCCATCGCGCAAAAGCAAGGAATTTTTTTCAGCCATTGACAATGGAACAAAAAATTTTGAAGTTTATTATTATAAAATTATTTTCTGTTCAATTATGATTTAATATGAAAAACGTTCAATTGAATGTAAATTTATTAAGTATACATGCTGAAATATAAAAGCCTCGCTTCTTTGAATTTTTACTTTTTGAGCCTCGTTTAGTGAAAATCTCGATAATTCGAATTTGTTTGTAAATCGAATAATAACAAATACCCTTGTCATTTCGAATTACCGGGACTCTATTGTAGTAGCTGAAAATACAAATACAATTTAAAGACAATGCAAATACAATTCAATATCAATTGTTATTAGTGGGATAGCTACATACATACATATATGTATCAACATAAAAAAATGCTTTGCGTTGCTCAACGTTTCTTGCACGTGCATTGCTAACTGTTTTGTTTTGTTTAATTGCAATGAGGTACTTAACATTCGTAAGGAGTTTCGTTTAATTTGGAGCCGGTATCAAAGATATGAACAGAATCGAAACTATTTTTTATAAGGTTTTTAATCGATAAATAAAAAATAAAAAACAAAAACGCGAATAATAATAAATTTTTTTTTTTACTTTATTTACATGGTATACATATACGGATTTGGAAAATAACATTTCAAGTCTGTAGCTCTTATATATTCGGAATTCGACTATATATATTTTATGCAGTCTGTCACGCACCCTTCTCTCTATTACAAAACCATTATTGCGTAATTCTCCATTTTTGAGACTGTTCGGAGATCCTCTGAACCTTGCGAACCAATCATTCCGGCACGGATGATTGATCAATGTCATGAAAGTATCTGCTGAGATCTTAAAATGCACTGAGCTTGTAGGCTCAAGTTTTTGTTCATCAAATTGGAGAGCGAGTAACCCCAGATAAAAAATGTTTCCAGTAGGCCTAGACAAATAATGAATGAGGACTGTAACATTAACTTACGTGCCAAATTTTACAGTTTTAGCTTTAGAACTGTAGAAGATGCAAATGGCCATGCCCATTCTGAGTGCTCATGTATCTGCCATATATTTTTTATTTTGAGCAATGTATTCCAAATTTGAAATCTCTAGCATCAGTGGGTGTATCTGGAAAATCTTTATACTTATACGAGGGTATACACGAGTATTTGTTCCAAGTTTAAATATTTTAGCTTCCATAGCTTAGAATTGGGTTCCGTTTTTAAGGACAAAGCAAAAAAATACTTTTTTTTGGTAACAGAATATAAAATGTGAATAAGTCGAGTCTTATCAGAAGAATATCATATTAAAAAGGTAGGAATATTTTATTTGTTTATTGAGTAATAAAATTTGTACGTTTCGATTGGAAAAAAAATATTTTTTTAAATTGGTCTCAGGGATTGTCATACCTATAGTAAGTATATATTATTACGAAAGTAAGCATATATTATTACATACATATGTACATGCATATTTCTGTAAAACCAACACAAAAAATCATCTTCTTCTGCCACTCCTCCATTACAAAAGCTTTTAGCTGTCCACGGTTGGTTGGATTCCTTTTTCCAACCGTTTTTTCAAATAGGACCATGCATGTTCGATTGGGTTGAGATCTAAGCATTGGGGTGGTGTATCCAAGACCTTTCCACAGTTGTAAAGTAGCCAATTGCGTACATTATACTCCTTATGTTTAGGATCGTTATCCTGGTAAAATTTAAAAGTTGGCCTTTTTTCGGTTATAAGGCCAAATTTGGTTGCACTTTGGCGTAAATTTGHCTTCAAAATTTGAAGATATTGCTCGGCATTCATTGTGTTTTCAATGAATACCAGTTCACCGACTCCTTGGCTGGATATGCAGCCCCAAACCATAACCGACAGTTTTCCAAATTTGACTTTGGGAATGATATTCGTTTTATCGTAAGCTGTAGAATCTTTTCGCCATACTTTTGGCGGACCTTCGTTGTAATACAACATTATTTTGGTCTCGTCTCAAAATATAACGTCTTTCCAATAGTCCTCTGGGTGCCTAAGCATAGTAAGAGCAAAAGAGAAGCGCTTTTCCACATTCGTCGACGACAGCAAGGG